ATGTCCCTTTTCGCTCCTGTAAAAGTGCCTTAAACTGTTTGAAAAGTGTTTTAAATGCTTGGCATCGTTAGCCCACCTCCTGAAACCTAAGCAAACTTAATTTGGTGTTGTTCTGAGTCTTTGTTAATTTTTGGTGATTTTTTGTTTTCTCCATTGAAAGCCATTGGTTTGCATAGGTTTCAGGAGGTGGGCTAACGATTGCAAGCATTTAAAACACTTTTCAAACAGTTTAAGGCACTTTTACAGGAGCGAAAAGGGACATCATTGTGCAAAAATTCCCAATAGGAAACATCGTTGTGTGAGGCGGCAAATTTTTCAGGAAAAGCCATCGTTGTGTGAATTTATCGTTGTGTGAGCCACTCGTTGTGCGAGGCACCACTGTACAGCTATTAATGCTAGCGTGGTTCTTTAATGAAGCTTCATAATAGAGCCATTTAATACAATGCTGCTAAGTTCAACATTCACTGCTAGTGCTCCTATCTGATAATTTCTGTTAGATTGCTAGCAGAAGCAAATCCTATTCTTGTTTTCAGGATCAAAACTCAGACCGGGCAAGTGTTTCATCCCTTGGAGCCCTAGATTCAGAGTCTACCTCCCTGACTGATGAAGAAATCTGCAATGATTTTGAAAGCAACTCTTCTCCTCAAGAGAATGCCTCTTCCGTGATAAAGGGAATTGGTCTAAGCAGGACAAGTCTTGAGAGTTCAGCTTCAAACAATGGCTCATCAAAACGTGTCCCCCAGTATGGTAGGTTTCCAAGCTTTCTCGCATCTTTCTTTTTAGCCTCACACAGTTACAACAGTACGTGAAAATAATCTGTGTTGGACAAAACACCCATGAGTAGTCTCCATGAAAATGCGTTAAGTGTTGGATGACAACACCTTTCAGTGGGTGTCACTTCCCATCCACTTCAAAAAGATTGCATTTGCAAATGTTTTGGCACCATCAACTATTCTGTTAGGACGGCCATGTCTGCAGTTGATCCTTTGAGGCTTCACTTCACAGTCCCCAAACACTGATCTACTACAGTGGAAAAAACATCTCAAATTTCAGCCTCTCTTCCCCCCCTTTTTAAAAAAAAAAATCATGTACTTAAGAGATCAGAACAATGTCAGTCCCCAAAAAGAGCTATACCTTAGCATTTCAGAAATGTCCATCTCCCTGATTAGGATAGCCTCATGCAGCCCTCTCTGACGGTAGCAACACAACCTTTAATAAGAGTAATACATGCCATCAAGTCAGTTCCAACTCACGGCAACCCTTTTCAGGGTTTTCTAGTCACAGAGTACAGTGGTGCCTCGCTATGCGACGATAATCCATTCCGGAAAAATTGTCGCTATGTGGATTCGTTGCTATGCAGAACAAAAAAGCCCATAGGAATGCATTAAAACACATTTAATGCATTCCTATGGGCAAAAAACTCACCGTTATGCGAAAATCCTCCATACGGCCGCCATTTTCGCTGCCCAGTAAGCAAGGAAAACACTGCGGTCGGCCATTTTTTTTACCCGGCAGCCATTTTGGAACCACCAATCAGCTGTTCTAAAAACATCGCTATGCGAAAATCGGTAAGCGAAACAGCTTACTGATCATCGCAAAGCGATGTTTTACCATTTAAAACATCACAATGCGATCGCAAAAAAGTCGCTATGCGGATTCGTAGTTAAACGGGGCGCCCGTTATGCGGGGCACCACTGTACTCAGAAGTAGTTTACCATATTGCCTTCTTCTCTACGGAGACATAAGTAGCACAACTAATTTAAACAGTATCTCACTGGCGGTTGTCCCTATAGAGACTCCCACCCATCCATGCCTAGCAGTCACAACAATGGTGGCTTGGGGCTCATTGTTTGCCAAACTGAGAGGCCTCTTCCTTAGCAGAAGCTCTAGCTTTCTTCTTCCTTGAAGTGGAGGAAAGGAGTTGCCCATGGAAGGAAATTCCCTTTTCTGTGACCAGAAGGAATGTAAAAGTGTTTCGTTTGCCTTTTAGGCTCCCTTTCCAAGTTTCCTTTGCCTGACAGATCAGAGCTGGTATCATCTTGCAGCACAAGCAGCACAAGTGTGTTCCAGAATTATGCACTGGAGGTACAACATTTTCCCTTTTTAATTAGCATATTTATTAGAAGTGGGGGAAATCAAGCAAAGGGATGGGTTGCTGGCTTTACTCATCTTCTGGTCCCATGAAATAGGCATCAGTTTACACCTTGGCTCCCTCCAATTGTGGCTGAGGGTTATAAGGTCAACATATTTTATGTATGTATGTATTTATTTGACTTCTATATCCCCCATCTGGCTGCCAGGCCACTCTGGGCAGTTAAGGAGACACATCTGGAGAGGGACAGGTTGGGGAAGGCTCCTTCAGGATGTAATAGAAGTCTAGGTGACCTTTTTCTTGATAAACTAAAATTCTAATATTCAGGAAAGCAATTTTACCAATTACTTTCACTGCTCTTTCAAAGCAACCCTTGAAACCTCATTACTTTTACAAATGAGCAATTGTTGATACTCACTGATGAGCCAGAGAGAGGAGAAGCCAACAGATCAGTCTAAAATGTATTTTGTCAGCTCTATAAATATATTAATTCAGCTGCTAATTTGTTGACATTACAGTGCTGTGGAATTCTCAGAGCTGCTTTCGCTTCCATCGAGAAAGCTAATTAATTTTTAGCAGTGGGAAACTGTGTCCTTGACAGAATCCACCACATACTGTGGAACTGTGTAGAAATGTATTCATGTTGGGAAAAAGCAGGACCAGAGAATTAAATCTCAAGGTTTTAAAACTAGGCCACTAGCACAGAAAGAAAAAGTAAACTACTAATCTTCATGTCAGTTAGGATGAACATCTTCTAGTTTTTTAGACTGAACTGTTTTTCTAGGCCGGTATACTTCAGCAGACTTAATAATCAGTATTGGTTAGGCCTCATCTAGAGAATTGTGATCATCTCTGGACACCACACTTTTAAGAAGGTTGCCAACAAACTGGAGCAAGTTCAGAGAAAGACAACAGGGATTCTCTAGACAATACTCTGAAATTGGACATACAGTGGTGCCTTGCATTACGATGTTAATTCGTTCTGGCGAAATCGCTGTAGAATGAAAACATCGTAAAGCAAAATTAAAAAGCCCATAGAAACGCATTAAGACCTGTTTAAAGTGTTCCGATGGGCTTAAAACTCACCGTCCAGCGAAGATCCTCCATAGAGCGGCCATTTTCGCTGCTTGTCTTGCGAGGAATCCGTCCCTAAACACAGCAGGGAGCCATTTTATTTACCCGGCGGCCATTTTGAAACCGCTGATCAGGTGTTGGAAAATCGTTGTTTCGCGAAGAATCGGTTCCCGAAGCAGGGAACTAACCATCGCAAAGCGAAATTCCCCCATAGGAAACATTGTTTTGCGATTGCAAAAAGTTCATTGTAATGCGATTTTGTCGTTAAACGAAGCGATCATAATGCAAGGCACCACTGTTTATTTAACTATAAAATTCCTCTCCCCCCCACCCCCCACCCCCGGTGAGAGTGATTGTAATGCGAGGCACCACTGTATATTTAACTATAAAATTCCTCTTCTCCCCCCCTCCCCTGGTCACAGGAGTATATCGGTTCCATTATAACATTGGTGTTATTCATGTTTGTGGAGTATACGAGCTCATTCCTTATGTTTTATTAAAACTTTTAGATGTCTTATACCCTGAAATCATTCCTTCTTTTCTGATGAAATTATAGTCTTTTTTGTTTTGCATTAGTTCAGAGGAGGGCAACAAGGATGATCAGGGGACTGATCCAAGCTTTTTGAGGAAAAACTGAAAAGATGGGGCATGTTTAGTCTTGAAAAAAGAAGACTGGGCGGGGTGAGATATGTTAGCACTGAAAGGTAATCATACAGGGGCAGGATCTGTCCTTGATCATCCCAAAGCGCACGCCTATTATACTCTTCACCCCAGCTTTAACTGAATGCTTTATACAGGTTCTCATCTCAAGCTGTTCACGGTGTCGAACCTGTGATTGTCTAGTACATGATGAAGAAATCATGGCAGGCTGGACAGCAGATGATTCCAACCTTAACACTACGTGCCCTTTCTGTGGAAACCTGTTCTTGCCCTTTCTGAACATTGAAATCAGAGATCTCCGGGGCCCTGGAAGGTAATCCAGTATTTGTAATAGAATTGTTTCTTGTAGTTCTTTGAAATTCTAGTGTCTAAACCTTCTGATCACATGAACATTTCTACTTTTTGTAGATATTTCCTGAAGTCCAGTCCATCTTCAGAAAACCTGCAGTTTCCATCATCTTTTCCAAACCAGACAGGAAATTCGTTCAACCCTGATCCCACTTCGGGATTTATGGCCTCTGTGATACCTGAGTTACATTCTGATAGGTAAAAACAATGCTTCATCCTATCACTTGGTCCAAGGAATGTCCTTGGCGTGCCTTCAGGCATATGTTGGTGTATTATTCAAGCCATGATGACTGTAGCCTGAAAGTTTGGGGTGAGTAATAAGGTGTCAAATTCAAAGGCCTGATCCAAGAAGACAGATCTTTTGTAGTGCAAGAAGTGGTTCTTAGTAAGAAAACACTCATTGTCATTGCTGTCGTCATCATCATCAAAAAAGTAACAATAGAAAGCACTAATGAAAAATTCTGAAAAACAGTATGAATTATAAGATAAATAGTATTAATTGTTAATTATGTTAATTTGTTCTCATTGGTATTGATTAACAGCAGATTGTTAATGTTTAAGAGAAGAAAAGGTGTGCAGAAAATGGGAAAGGGTTTCTCAAGAAATGTTTTGGACATAGGAAGAAGAAAATTACGTATATTTCAGTTTAGTTGTTAAACTGAAGTTGTCTTTCTTGCATGTCTGTGATCTCGTTGGCAGTATGACTTTTGCCACATAAACATGTAAAGTAAAATCAATCTTTTATTGGCAGCAAGTCAAAACCATCTGACACCACCTGTGCCAGGAGCATTCAGATCCCATCTAGAAGAAGCCAAAATACTATTAGCAACGAACACACCAGTCACCCGTTGTCAAGAAGTATTAGTACATACAGTCCTCTCGAGGTAGAAGGAGCAAGAAGCCACCAGCACAGCCGCCTGGTTCCTACAGGAAGCTTGCCTACTACATGGCAGGGACCTACTGTGAGTAACTGGGCCTTGTTTTCCTAGCTTTTTTTTGGGGTGGGGGGGAAGCATGATTTCCTTCACAGGACTGGTGCTGAAAACTACCAAAAGAGGATATTCTGACTGAATATAGCAGCATCTTGCAGAAAGTTGGGATGCAAAATAAAAAAATATGTTCTCACTGCTATATTCTCTCTCTCTCTCTCAGTTTATCTATTTATTTATTTAAAATAGTTTAATGCACCAGTTCTTAAATGGGGTAGTTTGCAACAACTTGTAAAAATACAATTTAACAGTGGTTCTTAATAGAACAGAATGTAGACAAAAATTATAATAAGCTCAGCAAAAATGAAACCCTACCAACAATTAAGGATAATGAAAATTAAAAATGTCTTGCCTGGCACCCGAATGTGCAGAATTATACAGTGGTACCGTTCCGTTAAAATCACTGTTAAGTGATATCATCGTCAAGTGAAAGAAAAAACCCATTGAAATGCATTGAAAACCAGTTCAGTGCGTTCCAATGGGCGAAGTACCTCTTCGTCCAGCGAAGATCCTCCATAAGGGAAGCCATTTTCGGTCGCTGTCTTCTGGAAATAGGTCTGGAAAACAGCGGGTAGCCATTTTGAAACCCGACAATCAGCTGTTTTTGATCGTCATAATGCGAAGAATCAGTTTCCAAAGCAGGGGAACGATCGTCGTAAACCAGATTTTCCCCATTCAATGATCGCAAAAACCTCATCGTGAAGCGATTTCATCGTGAAGCGGGGTAATCGTCAAGCGGGGCACCACTGTATAAGAAGGATGCCAAATGAATAAGGCCCTTTCTTCTGTTTCCACCCCCTTTAATATCAAATCTCAGTGACTTCTATATGGTCTCAAATGCTCTCTCTTGTTGTTCATACAATAGGATCCTTTGGGGCTAGAGTGGAATTTACCCAGTCCAGAACCCATCACTGTTCCTTATCTGAGTCCACTTGTTGTATGGAAGGAGCTTGAAAGTTTATTAGAAAATGAAGGGGATCATGCAATAACAGTAGCAGACTTTGTGGACCACCATCCTATTGTGTTTTGGAATCTAGTGTGGTATTTTCGACGTCTGGACTTACCAAGTAACTTACCAGGATTAATACTATCTTCTGAGCATTGCAATAAGCATTCAAAGGTATGAACATTAATTTTATTTGCTGTACAGCAACTAGTTTATTTCCAGGGCTACATCTTTTAAATTGTTTACATCATTTTTATCCTTTCTCAGAGGAGCTCAAGATAGCTGACAGCCTCCATAAAAACACTATTTACAAGCCATTGACACCATACACAATAACATGATTGCCATCTCATCTCATTTGGCCTTTTCCCTAAGGCCCAGTTCATCCATATTATTAGCCTTCCTCTACCACTGACTACCTTTTTTTCATATTTCATTCTGCTTCCATTGACAACGCAGGGATAGTTTTCCTGTGTTCACTATAAGCACTTAAAAGATTCAGAGTGATTTCTTTATGCAAGAGCTTCTATTGCAACTTAGTTGTGTAGGAAAATACAGTAAGTGCAACACCCAGGCCAGATTATAGTATGGGGCACAGCTACCTTATTGTTAATAGGTGAAAGTAACATTGGGGTCTGATGGATATGTGCATCACTAGCCTCACCTGACCATCCTGGCTTTGTTGTAGAATGGATTGTGGGAAAGGAAGGACTGGAGCCAAAGGAGACTTCATTATTTTATTGGCATTTAATATGGGGATCTAGCAAACAAACTTCCAGAGCAACTATATATTCAGAAAATATCAGGATTATTATCTTTCTGTTGGATGTCTGTGTCTATGTGTCAGATCAAGCAGGTTCGCTGCTAACTGCAGTTTCCTGTTCTTATATTCACATGTTTATATTCCACATTTTTCTTCCACAGATTCCAAGAAACTGTATTTTAGAGGACAGCAAATATGTTCTAATTCAGATGTTGTGGGACAACATGAAGTTGCACAAAGATCCAGGACAACCTCTCTATATTCTGTGGAATGCACAAAGTAAGTTGTCTGCATTCATTTTGGAAGTAACTCGCTTTGTGGAAAGACTTCATCACTGCCTATCAACAAGCTTATCAGGTTCAACTGATAAGCAATGAGAATTTTGATTGTACCACTTTTTGTCTTGCAGGTCAAAGCAATACACTTGTATTTGAGAGTGAGTGTTCCCACACTATCCTGCTAAGCCTGATGTATTTATTTTAAACATTTTTGCTCCCCATTTGTGTGTGTGTGTGTGTTATACAGTAGTCACTTTTAGCTTACCATGTACTGCCTGGGCATGTATTTTTTCCAGTCTTATTTTTTATTGAATATGTAAATTCTTATTCAGTTAATGTGTCTTCAAGATGAATCATCGGGATTGTGTTGAACATCTCAGTAAACCTTGCATTATTCTCAGTGTCTATTTCAAAACTGGCTTCCAAAAGAGATACTGAGTGTCTGTTCGTTTGCAGTTATTACATGCTGTTAAGTAAAACTTCTCTTTTATGGCTGGTTGTTCTTTGTTGTGTCTTTCTATAACATACACTATATTTTGAGTAAATTACTTTTTTTCTTTTTACATCATTTGTTTTTTCCCCCTGCCACTTTGTTGTTTCAATACTTTCTTAAATACTGCTTTTTTCCTAGCTCAAAAGTACCCAATGGCTCGCTTACTGCAGAAGGATGATAATTCCTTTAACCAGGAGCTTTTAAGAAGCATGGTAAAGAGTATTAAGATGAATGATGTATATGGACCGATGAGTCAGATCCTAGAGACACTCAACAAATGCCCACAGATAAAAAGGCAAAGGTAAATAAGTGAGTTTAAAAGAGTCTGTAACGTCACATTTTGCCATTGTGGTATAGGGGTTAGAATGTTGAATGGAGACTTAGGAATGATCTACATTACAGGAAGGATGGTTACACAACAAAAGCTTCATCTGGAAGCAAGCATAGAAAGTCCTAACACTTTTAGGTTCTGGCTAGGAAAACTGCCACATGATGTTGAGATTTCTCACTAGTTGTAGTACAGTTTTTGCATCCCTGACAATGCATTATCTGTTTAATACACCTATAGTTAATAAAACAGGAACGTTGTCCCTCTCTCATGTGGTGTGGGGATGGTGATGATGAATATGCACATGGCGGTTATTAATTATCTTATGTTAAATGGCACTTTATTAGCAATGTGAAGGCTTGGAAAAAAGGGAGGGAACTGCTGCCTCCAGAGGCAAGGCTTTTTGTCTCTACATTTTGCAAACTTCCCCTCTTCATCAAGAACTTTCTCTTTTTTAAAAGAGGATTTTATTATGCATACATGAATATTCCATCCCAAGGAATCATGTACATTCATACCTGATGAGTTTCAAGAATGCTGCAGATTCTGGTGACCAATTCGCTGGGCTCCAAAGCATACTCTTTTAATTCAAGCAACAGAAACATTCTTATAAATGTTTTCTGGGCATTTCACAGGTTTTGTCCCTGTTTCAATCTTTTCTTGCAAAGTGGCAGTATCTATTTAAAAATACGATTCAAAGCTGTCCATTTTTGGTCATAGGAAGATAGTATTCAAAGTGGATTGCTTTCCCCATTTCCCGTTCTTCAGAGACTGTTTCCCTTGGACCTAATCCTCCCTGCTTTGAACAGACGGAAAGCCATTTCTTTTCGGAAGAGTATATAATACATTAATGAGCACGTACTGCTCGGAAGCTGGTCACCCACAAGACAACCATAGCCCAAAGAAAATGCACAAACATCCAAAAAATTACACTCTTGCTCAGTTGAAGCAGTTCTGGAGAACTGGAAAGACCACCAAGAAGAGCTCTCCATCTTGACTCATACTGGTTTTGACAGGGTTGGGTCTAATTTTGCACTGCTGTTCTGGTGATGGTACCATACTCTGGATCTCCTTTTGAGCTTTTTGTGCCTAATACAGAAAACGTGGGCCAATAGCAGAAGAATGTAATTAAAAACCATTTTTTCTTTAGTGCTGAAGAGCAGGGTCAATATTATCCAAAATAACAATGGCTAGTTCTAATGCTGGATCTGATATGGCTGAATTGCTATGGTGGTTTTTTTAAAAATGCAAATATTTTTCTATCGTTTCTTTGCAGGAGTCTTTATAGAGAAATATTATTTCTCTCTCTTGTTGCTCTTGGAAGAGATAATATTGATATAGGTAAGTCCTCGGTTGTGTTGTGCCACATTTGCATGAAAAGGAGTCAGTATAATCTATTGCGAGGTAAAGGTTCCCCTTGACATTTAGTCCAGACATGTCCGACTCTAGGGTGTGGTGCTCATCCCCGTTTCCAAGTCATAGAGCCAGCATTTGTCTGAAGACAGTTTGCGTGGTCACGTGGCCAGCGCAACTCGATACGGAACACTGTTACCTCCTCACCGAGGTGGTACCTATTTAACTGCTTGCATTTTTACATGCTTTCGAACTGCTAGGTCGGCAGGAGCTGGGACAAGCGACGAGAGCTCACTCTGTCACGTGGATTCAATCTTACGACTGCTGGTCTTCTGACCTTGCAGTACAGAGGCTTCTGCAGCTTGACCCATAGCGCCACACATCCCTATTTGTATTTGAAGCCCCTTCTAAAACCCTGTCAGGATGGGAGTGCAATTTTCATTCTCTAAATGAGTCTAACATGAGGGTTGTAAACAACTATTTAACTGGCTGGATAGCTCAGTGAAATGGAGAAACTGAGGCAGGGGTTGGAGTTGGATTCGTCCCCTGTGCCTTCCAGGAGAAGAGCCAGCCTGTGTGTCCATGGGAAAGCAACACAGTCCCAGGACACCTGCAGAAGAAGGGACTGGTAAATAAATTCTGGGTACTTTGTAACTAGAAAACCCTGAAAAAGGCTTCTGTAAGTTGGAATTGACTGAAGAGCATGCAATTAACTATTAATTAAACAACTGCTATATTTGCCTTTTCTGAGTAAGGATCTCCCTCAGGCATTCCAGCATGGGAAGGATCTGTGACATGAATAAGATTTTTCCTTCTTTGCCTTAGGCTATTGATGTGCAGATTTTATTTAACAGAAAAAAAGAGAAAACAGTAATCCTCGTACACAATCGAAAGGCAATAAAGTTATCAGCCACCCTTGTCTTCGGGTCATTTAACACCAGAGATCCTTAATGAGCTCAGCTTTGTATGCTGCACATCAGAACCTGGAATGTAACTCTTTTAGACTCAGCTGAGAATACTCCAGCCAAGCTAGCTGAGGGGAGTTATAACTCAGCAAAATAACTTGGTCTGGAGAGAAGTGTGAGGAGTGGGGTCTCTAAATCTTTCTCCCCACATTAATTATCCTATGCAAATCTGCAGAATTATTGGCTGCTTATAAGGATTGTGGTGATTTAAACTGAGAAAAATATTAAATTCCACAAACTCTTCCGCCACTTAAAATTCACAGGCCTACGCCATGCATAATTTCTTGCCTCTCTGTCCTGTCCCCTCTTTTTCCAAACTGAATAACCTGAAACCTTGTATTGTTTCTTCATCAGACAGTTGGTCCCTTAATCAGCAAACCTTGGTGGATACTGGTAGTTTTATTTTCAATTCGTATCTTAGTGAGATGTCGCCCAGTATGGAGCTTACCTCTTTTAGCCGCCTAGAGTGGTCCTCACCGACCAGATAGGTGGTACAGCAACCACATGCTACTGTCTCTAAACCAGGCTACTCTTTGTATTTATATTTCTATTGATCTATTTGTATTTCCCTCTGTTGTTACAGATGCTTTTGATAGAGAATACAAAATGGCTTATGATCGCCTAACAGCAAATCAGGTCAAGAGCACCCACAACTTCGATAGGCCTCCAAGTACAGGAGTGATGGAATGTCGGAAGACTTTTGGGGAGCCATATCTTTAAGAGAGAAAATGTAATGTGTTGCTACAGGGTACATATGTATAAAACAGGATTTCAGAAAGTTTTTGCCACTTTTTTCCATTAAAAAAGCATTTTAAATCAAAATTTTCCAGGAGAAGACTGATTCACCATTAGACAAGAGAGAGCTCGCTTCATCTGAACAGTGTCTATAAACCACTTAATGGAGGAGATTAAATGGTCCATTGTAGAAAATTTAGACAGAGATGGACCCAAATCATGCACTTAGAAGTTTGCACGAATGAAATAAGCTTTCCAAAATTGTTTACATAAAATATTGAAAATGTTACAGAGTGCTTACCAGTAGTTGTATAATAACAATTTTAAATTATGTACAGCAAGCTCCTATTTTTTTTAACTTTTTGAATTACTATAGTGAATGAAGTGATTCCATTGCATAAGCAATACTTTTGTCCTCCTTGATGTTAATAGTAACTATCTTTTTTCAGAAACAATATATTTCGTTTCTTATTTTTTCTGTCTCTCAATATGGAAATGTATTTTTTTTATCAGAGTATGAATTGACATTTATATCCTGTTCCAAAAATGTCTACACTTACATCGTAGATTTAGCTGACAAGTGTTGCAGACTTGTATGAAGCTTTCATAATTAATATGCATTTGTCACTTTCAAGAAGTTTCGGCTGACACATCGTTGCCTGTTAGGAGCCTCTGCTGTATAGATTTTTCAGAACAAAGAGTGTGATGTAAAAATATATATATGTTTGGCACACCTGTGGGCTGTGGCATACACAATGGAATTCTGGACCTTTTCTTTTCAATCAGCAAGCTCTGTTTTGGCCCACAATCTACTTTTGGAAGTACCTGCAGGTTCAAAAGCAACTGGTCTTGTATTTCTCTTGCCATGGGTAGAAGTATGGATGTTTCAGAAAGATAATCCTAAAGTTCCATGGGTACACGGAAGTAGTTGTATTAACCCTTGGAATCTGTCCAAACTGTGGGGCAAGGGGGGGTGGAATAGAGAAAGAACAGGTAATAACCTGGAATATTCCCAAGTAGAATCTAAAATGAAATTTAAGAGAAGGGCGGAAATGGCCATGAGAGATGTGGGGAAAATGGCACCTACTTTCAGAAATCAAGTACATTAAGCATATACTAGAGTGAGTTTGTTTGCAAATGCAAGTTGCATGACAATTTTTAACTTTTGGGCCAGAATACAGTTTGTTGCAAAGCAAACGGTGCAAATAGTCATGTGGTTCCTTGTTGTGGCCTGTTCTGCAATAAGATGGCGGAAGTGGAGAGCACTTCCACCTTGACACTATTGGAGCCAGGTTGATTACGGCTACACAGCAATTTAACAGGACTCCTGCCACTGTTGTGAACCTCCACACTGCTTTGTTTTCATAGCTAATAATTTTAAACATGAGGAACTAAAAAATATTGCGTTTGCTCTAATTTGCACATGTAAAGATACGCTGACTCTGCTATCCGCTCTTTCTGATAATCTCCTAATTTAACAGTAGTGTGGCAATTATGGTATTATTTTATGCCTGTGCTAATAATTGTTGGATTAGACTATGCATTGGCAGTGATTCTTGACTTAACTCTGAGGCCTGGGTCAAAAAAGCTACTTCAGGTGTATGCAAAGGATTCTGAGACAGTTTTGTCTTTGAACAGCAGATCCATCTGCCATATCACCAGTTGCGTTTGAAGCTCCTTACTGAGTAAACAGAAACTGGAACTTCCTTGGGTTTGTGGCAGCTATGTAAATGTTTCTGATACAGCCTCCCTTAGCAGGTGTCCTCCAAATGTGTTGGACTACAGCACTCATCATCCCCAAGCAGCATGCCTTTGACTAATCTGGAAAATGCGGAAGGCTGCTCTAAGGGCACAGTGAAGCAGTAATACCTCTTGCACAGGCCTTCTGACATGTTGACACAGCTACTGCTATTCCACTCAGTAAGCTTGCATGGAATTCCCTTGTAAATTTTGTCATACATTTCCACACGTCTGCATTTATTTTGTATTTATAGACAGGTAATCTCCCAAACTTGTTTTTATGAATCATGTGATAAATTTGTATCTCCTGAATCATTGGATATATATGTTGGAAACCATTCATTACCTAGTAATGTGGGTTTGTTAGTATCTTTGTACATACCTATGTTATATTTTCTATGGAAATATTGTACATGGTGATTGCAAATGTCAATAAGTACCTAGATACTTGTGCATTTTAAGAGACCGTGTTAGTTAAGTTTTGAAATGCCACTCTTTGCTCTCATTAGCAGCATAAAAGCCACTGTTGTAGAGCACTTTATTGCTATGATGGAAGGCCCACATCTTCTTCCTGAGCTCTGTGTAAGTGTTTCCAGAGGTACTAAGAAAACTATAAATCAGTTTCTGTCTTCTACCTTTATATAGAAAACTAATACTACTTTCATTTTGGCAGATTTCCTGTTGGTTAGGATTCTGAGGGCATGGGCAATGGGCATTTGGGTGGACATCCAAGTTGACCTAACAGCAAGGTTTCTATTAAGTGACGTAAGAGTAAAAATAACTACTTGGTTCCAACTGGAGCATATCCTGCCAGTTCAAGTTTAAATCCTGCTAAATAGGCGTGAAGTAAAATACTGATCTCCAGATGTTATTGGACTACAAGTCCCCACATTTTTTCATCCTTGTAGAGGTTGATGTAAGTTGCAGTCCGGCAGTAGTTTGCTCAAGCCCTCTGCAGAAACCAGGTAGCTGGTTAGCTATGCCAGTCAGCCTGTTATTATAGAGTCTGTTACACTAACAAAGCCAAAAAGGTGTCTTGTGGCACCTGAAAAACTAGTCAGCATATTATTACCTAAGATTCTATGGATTAGAACTGTTAGTTCACACACGCATACAGTACATTAGGTTTCCCCTGCGCTTGATCAGTGGCAACGGCATATGTGAACAAACTAATAAAAGCATAACTGTGGATGCAATGTGATGTAAAATCAACAGTTATGACTATAATTACACATTTTCATAGTCATGTCACTTTCTCATCTTGCAGTTCTTCTGCAGTCTGCTAGGCTCATGTTAGTGGAATTCCTCTAAGAAGTTGGAATTTTCAGAGCTGGAGTAGCAGGTTGGGGGCTTAGTTCCTTTCTTTCCCGTCCCACAGATGTTTTCTGAAGTGATGTAAATATGAAGCAGCCTCAGCCCAAGTCAAACCACTAGCCCACACACTCCGGCACTATCTGCTCTGATAGCCCTCAGTTCTCTGAAGAATTGTGGGAGAACCTCTTCTTGGTCCTTCTTCCAGAGATATTTTAACTGGAGGTACTAGGAAATGAAATGTGTGATGAAAAATTCCTAATTCAAATTAGACTATGATCAGAAAATCAGATGTCAGAATAAAGTTCCCACCCACAGAGTCCAAGAGTGACCATTTTCACATGGTACAGTGGTGCCTCACTTTACGATTGTCCTGCATTACGACGATCTTTTTGCGATCGCAAAACCATGGTCCAAATGGAATTTTGCTTTGCGATGATCAGTTCCCTGCTTCGGGAACCGATTCTTCACAAAACCATGATTTTTAAACAGCTGATTGGCGGGTTCCAAATGGCTCCCCGCTGTGTTTAGGGACGGATTCCTCGCTATACAGGCAGCGAAAATGACCGCCGTATGGAGGATCTTCGCTGGACAGTGAGTTTTAAGCCTATTGGAACGCATTGAAAGGTTTTCATTGCGTTTCAGTTGGCTTTTAATTTTCGCTTTACGATGTTTTCGTTTAACGGCGATTTTCCTGGAACGGATTATCGCCGTTAAGCGAGGCACCACTGTATATTAATTCAACACAAAACCTGAGTTTAAAATTTCTCTGTTATAGAAAGGCAGTCTTCAAAACGTTTCCTTCTTTGTGAATCATGATTTGTTGCAATACTTCAGGGGAATTTTTATTTGCATTTGGTAATATTTCAACAGGTTTTTCATCTGTTTGGCCCATGCTGTCAGACTTATATTAGATGGAAGAGCACAGTTGCTTACTTAGTAGGTATTCTTAACGCTCTGTAATGTGTGTTAACTTTGGTCTTTATAGAAATAAAGCTTTGTCATGGAGATGACTCTTGGTATTTCAGTAGGAAATATTTTACTCCAAAGACTGAAATATATACCCTGTTTCCCCGAAAATAAGACAGGGTCTTATATTAATTTTTGCTCCAAAAAAACACATTAGGACTTGTTTTCAGGGATGTTTTATTTTTGTCATTTACAAGCATCTACGTTTATTCAAATACAGTCATCTTCTGGTTACTGCACAAGGGTGGGGTTTCACTTAACTAGGGCTTATTTTTGGAGTAGGACATATTATGAGCATCCTGAAAAATCATACTAGGACTTATTTTCAGGTTATTTTAAGGGAAACAGGGTATTCTTTCTATGTAAATGTGTATATAAAATAGTCATAAAACAGGAAGTACCATAGGTAGATTTCCATGAGGTAGCTTTATTTCTGAAAAATATGAAAATGGAATTTCAAAAAGGACATTTCTTTAATTTGCAAAAGAGCACTTTCACACAAATGAATGGTTGTAGATTTGTATATATGTAATGTTTACATTTTGTTTACCAACAAAAAGACATCTGTGTAAGTGTTTATTTTTGTTCTGAATTTGTAGGTCAATTTTAAGGCATATATTTCACAATGAGGAAAGGTGTTCTTTCCTGAAAGGTCAGAGAAAAATAGTTATACTTAAAATTTTACAATGACTCAATAAAGAAATTTAAAATAGATCTCTCTGTGTGTGTTTATTCATGTATGCTTCATTTATATTGATGACAAACACATTTAATTTTTTGCACTCATTTCCAGGTTTGTTTGTTTATTTATTTATTTATTTATTTATTCATTCATTCATTCATTCTATTTATACCCCGCCTATCTGGTCATTTTGAGGTTTAACAAGATACGAAGAATTCTGATCATAGCAGAGTTTGTGTTCATTACAAAACTCCTGTGTGCAGCCTGGGCCTAACCTTCGTTACACTGAGGTTTATGTGAGCTGTACATTGTAAATTATACCTCACTGATGCTTTTTGATGGAATGCAAATATAGTGCTCACAAAATAATATTTAGTAAAAATGTCTTAAAACATCAAGGATATGGCTCTCCATAGTTTAGAGTGTTTCACCACTGAAAAAAGGCCATGCCTTTAATATCCCCTGTTCTCAAGTCAAGGATCAGTGCCTGTGTTGATCTCTCTCTCTCTCTCTCTCTCTCTCTCTCTCACACACACACACACACACACACGCACGCACACACACACACGCACACACCCCTCTGCACCTGCTTCTGGACAACAAGTAACTTCCTATATTTTTATGTTGTGAAAACCTCCAAATTAAACCTATTCTACAAGTCCCTCTTTTCAGATATTGTACCATTCTGAAATCTGGAATTCTATACAGTACATGTGGTGAACATTTACAATCATTCATAGTGAATTTCATTTTCAATGTGCTAATTTTGACTTCAGACCCTCCAAATAGCCTGCTCTGATAGTGACACATAATCAGGCCTCATCATCTATGACTCTGGTTCATATTCTGCTTACAGTGAGCCAACACCGTGCCTCACGTTTTATGGATCTTCTTCTTTGAAGGCTCGGCTGCTCTAATTCTTTCTCTGGGGGTAGAGGACGAGTTCCTCTGAGACAGCTTTTTAGAAGAATAAGATCTCCGCTATCTTGTTTTGAAAAGGTTCCCCGTTACTTTTACTTTGCTGCAGCTCACAGAGGGGGTGCCTCTGTGGATAGCAATTACAGGATACTGGCCAGTATCCTACTGGTGTGTCTGGGTAATATGCTCCGGCTAATTAACAACATTCCAGAGCACATCTCAGTCGTGCAAATTACCAAGCATGCCTCTGAGGCATGTCCTGGCATCGTCTCAACTGGCCACAATCAGCTAGAACAAACCCTACACAAACACCAATAGGATTCTGGCTGCTGATTTATAAATATATTTCCAACAATCCGTCCTCCCTCCGTTGAATTAAAAAAGTCAAGATAATGTCTGTTCATTTTGCTAATCAGAGAACCAACAGGGGAAATTGCCCTATAAGAGGAGTTCAATACATGCTTCATCAACTGCCTTGTGAAATGGCAGGCGGTGCAACTACATGGAACTTTAGCATTTGTGTGCATGCTTTTATACACGTTCAAAACAAGACTCATCAAGTCCTCAGAGGTTAATTTATACAGATTTGGGGATATGACAACTGTGACAACTCAGCACTAAATATTTTTTAAAGCATCCCCAAAGACAATGACCGAGGTGGGCAAGATACCAGCAAAGAGGAAGTAAAACAAATGGCATTCCAGTTTCTTACAGAAGTCCCAGTTGGATCTATGCTATTGAGCCAATTATTATCAACAACAACAGCTATGCAGATGATGCCAGCTTATTGTCCACTGGTTCAGACAGTCTGGAGAGGCTACTGCACAATACTAAGAATTTCTTGGATCAACAACTCTGTGAGATAAGTCAAACTCAGAGAGTGTGTGACAGGCTCAAGTTCAACCAGGGCACGTCAAGACTCAGCAGGAAGTCCTATCAACAATTTCAGCCCAACACATTCTAAGGCAGAGCTGTCATTTGGATAGGGCAACTGGTGCTCTGACTCAGGGTGCCAAAATGTATATAAAGTGTGGAAACATTTGGTGCTGGAAGGGCATAAACCTGTTTTTTGGAGTTTGCTGCAGGAAGGACTCTTGCCCCAAGCATGCACATTATTTTCAGTTTCTCCCTAGGAAAAGAGAAACACAAAACAGTTTCACTGTGCACCCTAAACGGCCATTACATATTAAGACACAAATGTCCCTCTCCATTCTTCATCTTCTCCCCCCATCTTGTCTAATGCAACATCAGCGTAACCAATAAACTAGAAACACTCCAGACACCAAAAGGTGGAACCTAGGAACAGCAGACTAGTCAGTCTGACATCAATCCCAGGGAAAAAAATCTGGTGCAGATTAGAAAGCAATCACTCTGCAAGCATCTTGGAAAACAATGCAGTAATAACCAGCAGCCAACATGGACTCGTCAAGAACAAATCATGCCAAACTAGTATGATCTCAGTTTTTGATTGAGAAACCTCCCTGGTGGACAGTGGGAATGCTGTAGGCATAATATATCCTGACTTCAGCAAAGCTTTTGAGATGGTACCCCATGATATTATTCTGATTAGCAAACTAACTTGATATGGGCTGGATGGAACAACTATCGGGTGGATACACAGTTGATTACACAATTGTGCCTGGAGAGTGCTTTCCAATGGCTCTTTCCTTAAACTGGGCCCAATGCTCTTCATCGTTTGTATTAATGACTTCAGGGTGCATAGAAAATGCTTATCAAATCTTCCGATGACACAAAATTGAGTGGAATAACTAATGCCTGGAAGACAGAAACAAAAAATATATTGATGAGCTGAAAACAACAGAATAAAATTGTGCAAAGTTCTACACCTGGTGGTGGTGAGGAACCAGATGCACAGTTATAAGATGGGGGATAACTGGCTCAGTAATACTGTGAGCAAGAAGGATCTTGGAATTCTTGTAGATCACAAGCTAAATATGTGCCAACAGTAAACAGTTGCAAAAAAGGCAAATGCTATTTTAAGTTGCATTAAAAAGTCTAGTCTCCAAATCCTAGTTCTCCTTTGCTTGGCAGCGGTTAGGCCTCATCTTGAGTACTGTGTCCAATTCGGAACACCACACTATATGGAGGATGCAGACAAACTAGAACAAGTTTGGAGGAGAAGAACAACGATGATGAGCAGATTGGAAACCAAGCCTTATGATGAATGACAAAGAATTATGTATATTTAGCCTTGAGAAAAGAAGACTGAGGGGGAGATATGATAGCACTTTTTGAAGTCTTGAAAGATTGCCATATAGGGGGAGGCAGGATCTGTTCTCAAAGATCCTGGAATGCAGGACACATAATAATGGGCTCAAGTTACAGGAAGGCAGATTTAAGTTGACTATCAGGCAAAACTTCCTAACTACAGTATTAGAGCAGTATGACAATGGAATCAATTACTTCGGGGGTAGGGGTGGCAAGTGCTCCAATGCTGGAGGTATTCAATAGACAAATTGTTTATTGAATGCCACATTTGTCAGAAATCCTTTACTTTGGATTCCTGCATTAAGTAGGGGTTTGGACTTGATGGCCTTATTAGCCCCCTTAAACTCCATTATTTTATGATTGTATGATTCTATGATAGGGAAAAGTTCCATTGCTGCTAATGAGCTTGACATTCCTCCCCTTCTATGTGTGGCTAAAACTCTCCACCTGACCCCTCTTCAGCATGTTATGATGATGTGCATGTTACTCTGCACATGACTACATAAATGTGGCAGCCACACTCTTGGCTCCATCAGCCTTTACACACTAGGTAAGTAGCTCCTAACGTTACATATCACTCTGAGAATCTGATGAAATGAATGGATCCCTTCCTGAGAAAAATACACATGTATGCAGAATTTTGAAAAATCTATTTTAGACACATAGAAAATCATTTTTAACTGGTTCACAGACCCCCAAAAGCCTTTACTCCATAGACCACAAGACCAGAACCACCACACTACAGGACACCCATGACTTGGCTTCCATTGATTGTTTTTGGCTGGTGTGCTATCTAAAATTAATCTCGTTTGTCCCATATGGGGTTTTTTGCCATGCTTCTCTCACACAAATATAGGGCCCTATAGCTTGACAAAAAGCAATGGAGAATACACTTGCCACTCTCTACCTAGAAAGACAGAGCAAGAGAACTGATTTTACACAGAGTTTGGAACATTACATTTTAAAAGAATGCTTTAGGTTGGTCCTGGAGAATAGGATGCTATTACTATTGGCTCTAATTGCTCCAATTCCATGCATAGAGCAGCATTAACTCCCTGCACAGCTAGCTGTTTTGAAACAGGCCAGGAAAATACAGTACAATTAAATCTCCTCTGAATGTCTTCAGTGACCAAGTCTGATGTTACATCTCAGAAATATTTCTAAAGATGGAAAAAGCAAAACCAAAGAATAATGGCTGTGCCATTTCAGACTGATCAGAGAACAGCACAAAAACTGTATAAATGACTTTAAAAATGCCTTTTAGAACGAGGTGTTACTTGCAACACCCAGGTAATGTAGGGGGTGCCGTCTAACAAAGAGCACTTTACATTCCCCCCCACCCCCGGTCAAGCCCTGATCCTAGCACACCTCCCAACTGACTGAGCCTTCGCATGGCATCTGTTTTCTCCTCCATCTGCAGCCACCGGTCTGAAGAACCCCGCGGCCTTAAAATAGTTCCCTTTTTGGAAATATTAACCTCTATCCTTTGTGTGTGTGTGTGTGTAGAAGGTTATACTTTGGTGTGTGGGTAGGTGTGTGCAGGTGTGTTGTGCAGGTTATCCTTTGTGTGTGTGTGTGTGTGTGTTATCCTTTGTGTGTGTGTGTGTGTGTAGAAGGTTATCCTTTGGTGTTTGTTAGTGTCCCAAACCCCAGCAGATCAGGATTGCTGTGTGTGTCCCCAGTATTTTGCTGAGCTTTTTTACGGGTTTCCAGAGGGGCAGAAGGTTTTAGCTCAATGTTGGTTTGATCTGTTTTAACTGCTTCTTAAAATTTTGCAAGCTGCCTTGAGGAAGCACTTTCAGCGCAAGGTAGGGTTCTCAGTGGAAGAAAAAGAAGAAGAAGAAGCATAATCTAGCGGCTCAAGAAAACAAGCTGCCTTGAGGAAGCACTTTCAGCGGAAAGGTAAGGTTCTCAGTGGAAGAAGAAGACGAAGAAGAAGCAGCATAATCTAGCGGCTCAAGAAAAGTATCATCCTTCCCCGCTTGTGTCGCGGCCAGATATTGAGGGCGGAAGGGGGACGAGGCGAGTCCAGCCGCGCCCGTTCTTCTTCGCCCGGCCCCAAAGCTCGCGGGTCTCAGCAGCGCCGGGGAAGGTTTTGGGAGGCGGACCCAAGATGGCGGACGCCCGTGGGTGAGTTTCCTCACATTCGGCCGAGAGTGTCTGTTTCGTAAGCACGCCTGCAGCCCTCCTCGCCTCGGGGACGGTTGGGAGGCGCCTTTTCCCAAAACCGAGCCCCCTCGCCTTTCTCGCCCACAAACCTGCCTGCCTTCCCGGTTCTTGAACTCAGCCAGGAAGGTCGTGAAGCAAGGCGGCGCCTTTGCATGAGGCTGGGTGCCCCTGCCGTCGCCTTCGAGGCCTTTCCTCGCCCCGGACAAGGGGTTGAGTTGAGGGGAGCCGCCCAGAAGCCGCGAAGAGGCCCCTGCCCTGCGGGGGATTGAGGGGGGGGAAAGGAAGGGCAAAGGGGTTCAGCAGCTGTGGCTGAAACGTCCCATTGGAAGAGGGAGAGACTCCCGCTCGGAAGCCTTCTCTTATTTGCCCCCATTTGATCACCTGCCGGTGTTGGTGCCTCATCTCACTTCATTCCTCAGTTCAGCTCCGTTTTAGGTGTCTTTATCACCCTGTTGCTGCCTGGAGAGCTCAGTGGGTTAGGTGTGGGGCTGAGAGTTGAGTTCCCCGCCTTGCATCCCCAGAGAGACACCTTTGTGGCCTCGGGCAAGCGAAGCCCCATCCGAGGGTGCCTCGAAGAAAAGAATGGCAAACCCCCTCTGACCATTCTCTGCCTAGAAAACCTTGGAAAGAGTTGCCATAAATCATGGACTTCACCCCACACAATGATTATTATCACCCTCTTCCTTGGTTTTGCCTTTTCTTTGTCCTTTTCGTGTAACATTTTCCACCCATGCTGTCTGGATACCTATTCTTTCCCAGATGCCAACTGATATTTTAATTATTTTTCTGCCCTTCTGCAGAATATTCTATTTTTATCCTTTTTTTTGGGGGGGGGGTTCTTTTGAGAATGAGTATAGAAGTAGGCTGTAGTAATTTATCTGAGGCTAACTAATGTGATATGCAAAAGATGAGTGAGTTTATACAAGTGAATTTAAGCGCGCACACCCTTTCCTTTCTCTGCAGCATTTTCTCAGGCATCTGACACAACAAATAAAAGGCCGCCATGCCGACTGTGGTGGTGATGGATGTGTCCCTCTCGATGACTCGGCCAGTTTCCATTGAAGGCTCAGAGGAGTATCAGCGGAAACATCTAGCTGTCCATGGCCTGACCATGCTTTTTGAACACATGGCAACCAATTACAAACTGGAATTTACTGCCTTGATTGTGTTTTCGTCACTCTGGGAACTAATGGTCCCCTTCACAAGAGATTACAATACTCTCCAGGTATAAGTTACAAAGGCACAGACATAATTATGTTACACTGTTAAATATGCTCGTGTTTTTGATTTAGACTTGGCAGGTGCTATTCTGAGCACCCCCTAAAGCCAATATAGCTAAACACAGAGTTTTGCATGTAACCCAAGCCAATTGGTGTATATTCACAGGAAGCCCTGAGTAATATGGATGATTATGACAAGACCTGCTTGGAGTCAGCTCTGCTAGGAGTATGCAATATTGTGCAACAGGAATGGGGGGCTGCCATTCCCTGCCAGGTGAGATTTTTAGTATATTTTGTGTGCAGTTTTTGTGGTGTCCCGTTGCTGATAACTGTTAAAAACGAGTTCAGAACTGAATAGAACACATTCAAAATGAACAGCTTCTCATCTGTAATAAAAATACTTTGCACCCCAAACTGAGTAAACCCTAGGCACATACATTTTCATGGGCCTGAAGGCGGACAAAGAGTGGCTTTCTGGTTTCCACTCAGCACTTCCTTTTGCATCCTGACTGGCAGCTGCAGTGCCATTTAACATCTCTGATGCTTATTTGTGGCTTAGGGGGACTCTGTTATTTGCCTCTTTTTTGTACATTCATGAGAAGAATAGCTATATAATGAAGGAGGAGAATAACTCTTAGAGCATATGCTTTTCAGACATTAGATCCTATGTTTAGTCCCTGCATCCACATATAGCTGAAGGAAGAGTTCAGTCTGAAATCCTGGAAAGTTGCTGTTAATTAGTGTAAACACAACTGAACTGAATGGATCTGTGGCCTGACTCTGTATAAGGTAGCCCCTTGCATCCCCATGTATGTCAGTCTACTGAAATTGACATAGAGTAGAAATTGAATGTGAAAATGCCCCAAGAACATGGGAAGGAGATAGTTTTCATACCTCAGCCTGGCTTCTCAACAACTTTGAAGCCTAAGTTGTCAGGCGAAGCAGAGACTGAGGGAACATGATTGCTCTTCAGCTATTCAATGCATGAGATGTCTAGTATTTTTAAGGAACCCGTTCACAAGACTTTACAGAATAGGGTAGTATCTCATTACAGTTTATGGAGTCACTGTCTTCTTTTCATCTTCATTAGGTTGTCCTTGTTACTGATGGCAGCTTAGGCATTGGCAGGGGTTCTCTCCGCCACTCTTTAGCTACTCTCAGCCAACGAAATGAAGCCAACCAACGGTTCCCACTGCCTTTCCCTTTTCCATCAAAGTTGTACATCATGTGTATGGCCAGTCTGGAGGAGGTGAGTCCCCTCTGGTCAGCTGGACCTGTGAATACCAGTAGAGGGTAGTTGTGTTAGTACATTGCTTGTATGAGAGTTGTAGACCAGGAGAGGCAGATATCAGACTTAACAGGTTCACTTTTTCAGTCTAATTTAGTTACTCAAAGTCATTATGTTGCTGCAGAGAGCGAATAATACATCACAGTCCGCCTTCTGTCTGTCCCTGCTTGGGTCTTCAAAGAAGATTTTATTTTAAAAAAAATAACATTTGGGGCAAGAGCTATAGCATGGAGAAGGCACTTACTATGGTGGCTTCTAGTAAGAGAGACCTAGAAGCACTAAAGCGAGGGAGATGTGTACTCCTCACGAATTACTGGCATCTGGCTTTTTAGCAGATGTCAACAGGTTTTTTAAGATGTTTATTGACAGTCATAAGCTCTAGAAAGATTTGAATGAATGTTGGATGTGCGTCAAGAGTGTTAATGCGTAATATTGAGAACAGGTGAAAGTGTAGGGCTCTGGTTATATGTAGAACTGTATACAGTTAGTTAGAACATTGGCTGGAGAGAAGTTGGAAATGTTCAGAAGTTGGAAGCATTGAATGTACATAAACTGAAACATGTTTCATATGTTGACACATTCTGACCTTGGGTGTGAATTAGATTTTCTTCTGTTACAGCTCCAGAGCTCAGATTCTTTAGAATGCCTTGAAAGGCTCATAGACTTAAACAATGGGGAAGGCCAGATTTTTACTATTGATGGGCCCCTTTGCTTGAAGAATGTGCAGTCCATGTTTGGGTGAGTATATCTGCAATAAGCATTACTGTGTGCAAGTTGTCTCCCTAGAGCAGCGATGGCGAACCTATGGCAGGTATGCCACAGTTGGCACCCAGAGCCCTTTCTGCAGGCATGTGAGCCATAAGTTGCCGGATCGCTACCTTCCCCCACCCCCTGCCAAACCTGCAGAGGCGGCTGCAGCCGCGGTGCTGGCACTTCGACAGGCAGCGGGCCAGGATCTGGAGCAGCTGGCACTGGTGGCGGAGCCGGAGCGGGGGCTCGAGGCACCTCCTTGCCCGGGATTCCCCCTTCCGCTGCCACTTCTGGTTCTGCTGCTGCCGCCTGCCACCCACTGTGCTTCTTTCCCCCCCCTCTCCCAATTTGGGCACTCAGGTCCAAAAAGGTTCGCCGTCACTGCCCTAGAGTCTTGCATTATTATTGGGTTGTTTCCTGCTATTATTTCATGATCCATACTGCTAATGAAGCTGATGGTTGCTGTGCCTTTTCATTGTGAATGTTCTACTTGTTTGGTTTAACAAGTCCTTTGGTAATTACTCACCCCAATATTTTGCTGTCTTAGAGTAATACAACTTGTTAATTCATGTTATAAAACTAAAAAGGACAGGTTGTCTCTTCTGACTTGTCGCGCCTGCACAGGTTTTGTGCAGGCATGGTGCCCATCTCCCCTGTACACTTACCCGTTCCTCGGGACATGCACACTTCCCTCCCTGCCTCCCTAGTCCGACTATCCACCCACCATTTGCAGCAGTGAATCCCAGCCCCGCCGCCTTGCCTGGTGGAAGAAGGAAGAGGATGACTGGGCCCGGTCAGGGACGACTTAGGCATACCTAACTTTGCTTCTCTAATTCCCTTGTTGGGTCCAAAGAACAGCAGAGATGTATAAAAATGTCACCCTGCTTGCTCAGATCAGAGGAGAAGAACATCAAGTCCTTGACTCTTCAGTGGACAGGATGATAGTTCAGCTTCATACACATTATTACTATTTGCTATGTTGATTGCAATGGAAGATTTAAACCTTAAATTAAACACTTGAACAGTGTGGTTTTGTCTCTCCTTTCACTTCCAAAGTGAAGCTCTGCAAAGGGATTGTAGCTTCCTAATCTGGCAGAAGATCAGTCAGCATTCTCACATTTACTGGACTATAGTGCCATAATGAGATCCACGGTAGCTGTTTTAAGCTGTTTTAGGAACAATTTCACTATATAGCATCAAGGACTGAGTTGTGCCCAATGGGAAAAAAATATGTGGAGCTTCAAAGTCTGCATTATTTTTAACATTCCTCCAGTGGAAGATGTCTTGTCGCCAGTTTGTTTTGTCGCACCTCTTAAATGTAATCCAAAAAACCCATCCTGTGATTCTCCAAAGATGTTGGTTTCAGTTGATGTACCTTCTTGTCTTAATGATAAACTCCTCTTCCAGAAAGCTCATAGACGTAGCTTATACACCCTTCCATGCTGTTCTGAAATGCGGCCACTTGTCTTCAGACGTGCAAGCCTTTCCGAGGCCAGAGCCCTTTGTGATAGACGAGGAAATTGATCCGATCCCTAAAACAATTAATACAGGTAAGTAGTTACTTCTTCTACAGCAAACTCTGACAGTGTGCGTTTGTGTTGCCCTCTTTTGTTGTTTCTTTGTCTGACATGAAGCCTTCTTCTGACATGCGCACACATGTACACATGGAGCTCGCTACTGACTGCTGCTGCTGAAGCTATCAGTGAGAAAGTAGCAGGTCAGGTATTATGGGAGATGTTTTCCATAACATCTAAAGGGCACTTCTTAGGTTATTCCTGCCTCCTCAATGGTGTATTTGTAGTCTAATTTCTTTGTCGTTGTCTTTCCTTACTGTTGGTTTTCTTTTTAGATTTGGAAATTGTTGGGTTCATTGACATAGCTGATATCTCCAGTCCCCCTGTCCTGTCTAGGCATTTGGTATTGCCAATTGCTCTAAACAAAGGTGAGTCTTTCCATTCTTCTTTCTGTAAAAATCAGTATCCCCAACAGCCAGGAACATTTTCTGATAGTCCTTTTTATTCCTTTTTTTCCTAGAAGGTGATGAGGTGGGCCCAGGGATTGCAGATGATGTTGAAGATGAAAATTCAGCTAATCAGATAGCGGGCAAGATCCCCAACTTCTGTGTGTTGCTGCATGGGAGTCTGAAAGTGGAAGGCATGGTGGCCATTGTTCAGTTAGGGTATGGAAGGTGGCATGGGAATCTTGGGGGCACAGAAATGACTTTGACTGGAGCATAATGGTGGTTTCACTGAGCGTAGGAGGTGATATCCAGGGTGGAAGAGAAACATTAGGTTTAACTTACGGAATGTCCTCTTAACATGTGGCGTCCTTAATATGAGCCAACAGTGTGATGTGGCTACAAAAAAGGCAAATGCTATTTTAGGCTGCATTAATAGAAGTATTGTTTCCAAATCCCACAAGGTGCTAGTCCCCCTCTATTCAGCACTGGTCAGGCCTCGCCTTGACTACTATGTCCAGTTCTGGGCACCACACTTCAAGAAGGATGCTAACAAATTGGAACAAGTTCAGAGGAAGGGTGACAAGGATGATCAGGGGACTGGAAACCAAGCCTTATGAGGAAAGGCTGAAAGAACTGGGCATGTTTAGCCTTGATAAAACAAGACTGAAGGGTGATATGATAGCACTTTTCAAATATTTGAAAGGCTGTCAGAGGAGGGGCAAGATCTGTTCTCAATCATCCCAGAGTGCGGGACATGCAACAAAGGGCTCAAGTTAAAGGAAGCCAGACTTCGGTTGAATATCAGGAAAAACTTCTTATCTGTTAGAGCAGTTCGACAGTGGAACCAGTTCCCTCAGGAGTTGGTGAGTGCTCCAACACTGGAGGCATTCAAGAAAAACTTAGATAATCACCTGGCAGATATGCTTTGACTGTATTCCTGCACTGAGCAGGGGGTTGGACTTGATGGGCTTGTAGGCCCCTTCCAACTTCACTTTTCTGTGATCCTTCCATCTACTTCCAGAGTTCATATACAGGCTTCTTTATTTACATGATATTCCTTTGCAATCAATATATCACACAGTATCAAATAATACAATTTTCACAGCAAAAGTAGGAAGAAACATCAAAACATAACACATATGACACTGAGTGACATCTGTAAAAAAATATCTGACCCATGACAGTGGGTGGAGAAAGATTGCAGAAGTGGGATTTTAACTCCCCCCGTCTTTTGTCCTTCTAACAAGCCTATTCAGACCAGGGGGAAGTGAAACCAATGTGGAGGATATATCAATGGTCTCCTACCAACTCTCCTCAGTCTGAAGAAGCTACTTGGATGAGTAGTGAAACGTTTCCACCTAATAACAAAGACATCCAGTTCCATAACCCAACTTCTAGATAACCTCACTTGGATGACTGAGAATCTTCACAGATGTCTGTAAAAAAGTTAAGTCTCAGACTGAAATCCTGTTGCTTTGTGTAAGAAATTTGTAACTTTCAGTCCATTCTTAGCCAGTGAACAACGAGTCCCCACTGCAACTCTTGAGGATGCATGCACACATGGTCTTGGTGTGTGGGTACACACACACTCAACAAGCAGTAGGGATTTTTTATTTGCTAGATAGGAATGCACTGAAAGTTAAAAAAAAATCATACACTAAATAACAGGATTTCAGCCACAGTGTCATGATTAGACCTTATCTTGATGGGAGCTACCAAAAAATTGTAAACTATGCTATCAACTTTTTTCTCAGTAGGTACAAATCAGATGAAAAACTCGGGCAGAAATCAATAATAGGATGATTAACTCTTTTTGAAAAGATCTGTATAAGGAGCAGAACAACAACAATACATGTGTAAACATTTCGGTACTCAAGCTGTTGAGTCATGCACTTGAAAAGCCCTCTCTGTTTAGAAACTATTAATGGTTATATGTACCTGGTGGGAGAGAAACCTTGCTCCTGCTCCAGAAGTTCTAAAACATCTACTGAGGAGGAGCACCCTCAGAAGTGGAGGATTATTCTTAGAGACCATTCTGAAGTTATGTTTATTCTGGCAGTAGAGGGAACCCCAACTTTTCCCTTTGCAGACAGATAAGGTCCAGTGTAAATACACAATTGTATTTTCTGTTGAGCAAGAACATCTGCACTCATATCTGTTTTACTCCTATGTTTAGATCAGAATGGTTTGGGATGCTGTATTCTCAAGCTGACAGCAAGAAGAAATCAAATCTAATGATGTCTCTCTTTGAACCCGGACCGGAGCCGCTCCCTTGGCTGGGGAAGATGGCCCAGCTCGGCCCTATCTCAGGTACCACCCATACCTCCTGGAATGTTCCCAATAAGTCCCTTAATATTTCAGATGTAGGTCTTCACAAGCAACTGCTCATGCTTTACCCTGTACACATATTCTCTTTTATGGTGTGCACTTGCTGCTTTAGATAAATTGCCCTCTATTTGGTGCATTCTTCTGCAGTTTTTCAGGCTTCTTTTTTCAAGCTTTGCTACAGCAATGGTTAGATGCTGAGAAACCAACAGCTGATAGCTGAAAGTGTCAGTGCCTGAAAAGCAGCTTCATTCATTCTCCTTCATTTCACCTGGTCTTCATGCCTCTTCCTTCATTAATATCTTTTCCCTTGTCTTTGAAAATGTGCACCAGATGGTCAGGGAACCCAGTACAGTGATACCTCGATTTACGAACTTAATCTGTATTGGAACGGCGCTCATACATTGAAAAGTTTGTAAGTCAAGGCAAACTTTTCCATAGGAATGCATTGAAAACCATTTAATCCATACCTGCTGTTTTTCATTCTTATGTCGAGGCGGTGTTCATAAGTAGAGGCATTAGTCCCATAGGAACTAATGCAAATCCGGTTAATCCATACTCTACCACTAGGGCAAGAATTCTTTAAATTTTTCTTCTTCTTTTGACCTAAGGTCCAAAAAAGGGCAAGAAAGGGCAAGAAAGTTTTTTTTTTTGATTTGCAAGTCGAGGCTCCTTTCGCAAGTCAAAGCAACATTTTGCGACCGGAGCTGTTCGTAACTCAAAAGGTTCGCAAGCGTTCGCAAGTGGAGATGTTCGTAAGTTGAGATACCACTATATAGATGACTAGTAATATCAGGCAAATGATTGTGCCACTTTAATGTTGGGTTTTCATGGTGCCAGATTTGTTTTCTTAATAAAGAGCTTTATAGGTGAGACAGAATATCCCAATTTAGATCTTATAATTCAAGATTTATTCTCTTTTAGATGCTAAAGAGAATCCGTATGGTGAAGATGACAACAAGAGTCCTTTTCCCTTGCAACCCAAGAATAAACGCAGTTATGCGCAGAATGTAACTGTGTGGATTAAACCAAATGGTCTCCAGGTGAGCTGACTTGTTTGAAGGCACTCAGTAGTGGTGATAGAGGTGTAGAGACCCGCTCTCAGTTCATGCAGCATGATGGTAGAGCCCAATAGCCTTCAGATAAACTAAACGTAAAGGTAGTGGTTTGTCTTTTGTCTGTTCACATCACATCAGAGTATCTGCATCTGCAACAGCTTATAATTTTCTTTCGGTACAATTCAGGGTCTTTTTTAGAAATAAAGGCTTTTTTGTAAGTGTGTTCCCCCCCCCTCCCAATTAAGAGTGCCGGTAGAAAAGCCTTGGTGATGTGCACTATGTTTACTGGCTGGTCTTTTTAACTCCCTAAAGTGAAAAAAAATGTTGAAGCATCAGCATGCCAGGTACATGTTTCTTTTCCTCTTTCTTCAGACAGATGTGCAAAAGATCCTTAGGAACGCAAGAAAACTCCCTGAAAAAACACAGACTTTCTATAAGGTGAGGAGGGCTGTCTCCTAGCATCCTGAAGCAGGCACTGCAATGTCATGGACAGATTCTGCAGCTTCTTTTTAATATGAGGAATAGTTTGGGGGTGGAGTGGTTTGGTTGGTTTGCATTCAGAGCAAAATTGCTTGTAAGTGTGTGCACTCTCTCACTCATTCTATTCTTGTTTCAAAAGTAGAACTGAAAGGGCTAGTTACACCTTAGCGGTAGAAGGAAGGTACCGGTTGCCATTGAGCATCCAGTGCAGTGCTTCGCCAGCTTTGTGGTTGAAAGCTAAAGTGATTCTTTTGTTAGTTTCAGTGATCCAAGCAGGGAAGTAAGTAACAGGGGACTAGAGCTGTCTTGTAGAGCAGTAGGGATGCACAGCCTTCTGTTTTTTCTCTGCTGCCATGGAATGCTATGTATGTTTTAGGCATGCTTTGGGTTCGTAATAAGGAAAAGAAGACATGCAACAAGCCCCGATAAGGCCCTAGTTAAATAGATTGTACACGTCCAAGTGTGCCTCCCAGATCCTTTGCTGCATGCAGATATTTTTTGCAGAAATGGTGAGGAGGGGAAAAAACGTGAAGCTGCTGGCTTGGAACACGTGGAAGCACCAGGAAGACAGAATGTTAAGCCAGTATTGCAAGAACGTAGACTTTTAAACATTTTCGTATCCTTTTTCGTGGACACTACATGGTGATTTTTAAACTTTTTTTCCTCACTTCTGGGCAAGTGCTTGACTGGAAAACGTTATCTCCCTTCTGGCCCCTTTTCTAGGAACTGAATCGCTTGCGAAAGGCAGCTTTAGCCTTTGGGTTTTTGGACCTGTTGAAAGGTGTGGCGGATATACTTGAGAGGGAATGCACTCTTCTCCCAGACACAGCACATCCTGATGCAGCCTTCCAGCTAACTCACGCAGCTCAGCAGCTTAAAATGGCAAGCACCGGCACCTCGGAGTATGCAACATATGACCACAATATCACACCACTACAGACAGACTTCTCCAGCAGTGGGACTGAACGGATGTGATGGTCTGTTGTGGTTTGAACATCTTTCCAGCTGCCCATTGGCCCATCTTCATCTACAGGCCATTTCATTCCACACTTGGACAGTGAGATTAGATTGGTCTGGATGTTATTAAATTTTATTACATTTGTATCTACTTTTCTCTGTATCGTACAGACCTAAGGAGAAGGCGTTCAAATATCTCTAACATCTATGAACATTATTATCCATGTTACAATAATTCAAATGCTTCCCAAAAAATTTTGTTAAGAGAATTTCAAAGTGAGCCAAAGGTTGCTACTGGCAAATGTAAAGGAGGAAAAACCTCTTGATTCCTGAACAGTGTGACTGAAGAACACTTCTGTTGCATCTTTAGGACCCTCATTCTCTGTTTCTAAAATTCTTGGCATTTTGTGAACTTTGTACCTTCAATTCAGAATCATACTTTGCCCCCTTCCTGAAGAACGCCACTAAGCATGGTGTTGGAGAGTTTCAGAGGCATTGGTGGATTTTCATTCTCTCTGTGTGTAGTGTTAATATTGTCAGACTGATTCAGAACAGTGACCATCATGCTATCAGATAACTCCTTCACATGTATCTGAAACCACCACCAACACACAAGAAGCAAATAGCAACATGATTAGGGAAACTCTTAAGGTTTGTAGAATGGAAGAATTAAGGGGATAGCTACCTGAAACAGTTCAGTGAGGATTGAACATGCTTGGGAACATAGGATAGAACAGAATGAAATGCAATATTGACCAGGAAAGAATGGTGCTGGAACTTTACACAGGATCATTCTGGATGACAGCAGAAGGCAATTTTCAAGTTAAAGGAAAGCTTGATGATCACAGGGAGAGTTAAATGTCTTCAGGATATCATGTTTACAGCTTTTATCAACTGCTGAAGTGCCTTTTTTGCAGCATTGAGAGGTAGCCATGTTAGTTTTTTTCAGCTTGTATAGCAAAAATCAAAAATCTGGTGGCATTTCAAGACAGGTTTATTTCAGTGTGAACTTTCATGGATTACAATCGACTTTCTAAGGCAGTGAGCAACAAAAACACATTGAAAGTTTTCAGTCTTGAAAGTGCCGTAGTTTTGTTTTTTTCCAACTGCAGCTATTTTGGTTTTGCTTGAGATAAAATGTGACCGTCGTCTTTTATTGCCTCCAAACTGTCTCCTTGTCCTCTCCTAAAGAGAGACAACCTAACTCTAATGTTATGGTGGCTTTAGACAGAATAAATGAAAGATTAATTTACAGTTCCCAGCCAAAGAAGACTTGGAAATCCCTGTATCTTCAGCAGCAGTCAAGCATACAATTTTCTGTTGGGGTCAGGGAAGCAAGGGGACATACTTTGCTTTAGATTGCTATGATATAATGCTGCCTCAGGACGTACTACGAGGAGCTGTTGGGCAGATGTGCAAGTTTGCCATGGATCTTGAACTGTTTGTGGAAACTCTTGCGGTAGATTGGACAGATGCAGTCCAGCCAACAGGTTATTCTCAGTGCCTCGATCTCTGGGTCGTTCAATGAAGCTTCTTAGAAAGAGCTGAAGAATAGGCATCTTCACACAAGGAACCAATAACAAAAGGCTGATGATGTCTTATTAAAGCAGCTGGAGCTGTGGTCGAATTGCACAGTCCTAGAATGCTGTCAGAAGAAGTGACTGATAAAGCATCTCTGAGTACTTTTATACCTAGGAAACAGTTTAAGAAAACAGAGCTGTGCAGAGCTAGAGCAAAACAGGCACACAGACACAGGAAGCCTCAGCAGGGAAATGGCAGGGGTATTGTTTTTTAAGAGGGAGGGGACCAAAGCAGGCTCAACCTTGGAGTTGGCTAAAATCAAACTCAAAGTCAAGTCCAGAGACTACAACTCGCCCTTCCCAATGAATAATTGCTTTATGTAATATAGGTAATATTTGCATTGTTGACCAATCTTCCAGAAATGCATAAGGCCTCCCCGATACATGATTTCTCAAAGCCGAAGCTGGGATGTATGTATATTGCTCTTCCTCTGACTCCACAAAAGAACTTCATCAGATGCCTGTTTTCCCCCATTCTCCCTCACTTGCTGGCTGAATGCAGAAGGATCCACCAACAATCGCTTCCTTGTTTTTCTCGTGGTATTTGCAAATTTTTATCAATGAGCCAGGGTAAAGGTAAAGGTTCCCCTTGACATTGAGACCAGTCGTGTCCAACTCTAGCGGGCAGTGCTCATCCCCGTTTCCAAGCCGTAGAGCCAGCATTTTGCCCAAAGACAGTTTCTGGTGACGTGGCCAGCGTGACTAGATGGAACCCTGTTACCTTCCTGCCATGGTGCTCCCTATTTATCTACTCGCATTTGCATGCTTTCGAGCTGCTAGGTTGGCCTAAGGATGCTCCACTGCAAAAGAGCCTTGCACATTGTGAGGGTAATGATGTAGGGAGCAAAAATAAGCATAAACAATACTTGGAACTAATCAGCCTGAGAGTCACGCCAACACATTTAGGAAGGAGAAAGGGGTGCTGACGGTTGATGTTATAGAGCCGGTTAAGCAAGTGGAGCAAGGAAAACACGCCGAACCAGTGGAACTTGTGGAGCCGAGATGACAAAGCAGAGGAGGTTCGAGCGTGTGGAGGCTGTGCGATGATTCACAGAGCACGTGGAATTGTGAGAGGAAATGGAACTTGGGAAGCCAGTTGGAAAAGTATGTAGTGAGATGTGCTTAGGCCCATGTGGGACTTGCTAAAGATGGAAGAGTCTCTTGTAACTTATATCCCTTAAAACAGCCTCTTAGGGTAGGCAAGTGTCTTTATCATCATATTACACTTGTAGGGCTAAGATGCTGTGGTGTACCTGAGGCATCCGTGTTTCCATGTGTGAGACAAGAGGGTGGAACCTCCCTGTGTTGAATCTCCTAGCCACAATTCTCCAGATTGAAACGGCTTTCACAGGCAGGGTCTGTGTTAATTTGGGGGAGGGGGGGATCTCCATATTCTCTCCTTCAAGCCTCCCCCCAAATAGACTTTCCCACAGTTGCGACTGTTTTCTGTTTCCTCCTATTCCGTCCTTACACAACTCAGCAATCAGTACAGTATCAGTAAACTTTGGAAAGTGGCTTCTAGGCATTAAATCCTCTGAGCGTCCTGCTCCTTTAAGAAGGTGGAATCCCCCTTAACACGAATATTCCCATGAGTATATTTGTTCTCTAGAACAGCAACTGGGACAGGCTGAGTGGTTCGGTTCCATTCAGATCTCCTTCAATCGCCGCCATCTCCTCTGCATTCACCACCACCTCCTATTTTGGGGTGGAACATTTTACACAAGGGTCATTTCCAGAATGGCTTGACCTTTCCAGATTCCAGAATAAAGTAACAATGGGTGATTAGGCGATTTTCCTTTTCACTGTTCTTCAACTGATGAAAAGCTGCCACAACGCTCCACCTTTCTGTTTCCAAATACATTTATGTAACACTAAGAGTGGTGACTGAAAGGCAAGCAATGTCTTAAGGAGAAAGTGACATTGAGAAGGGGAGTGGGAGACCCTGGGACTTAATTTAAAGAAAGACCTGTGGAAGAAAAGTTTGGGAAAATGTGGCTGAATCACCAGAGAATCCATCCATTTCAGTGTATTGCCTGCTCATAATGTGCAATTTGATTCCATTAATTCTTTTGTCTAGACATTGTTTTGCTTGTCCTACAAGAGGCCATTGTAGGCAAAAGATGACATACATCACAGTGGCACAGGAACAGGTAAAAGGACCCTGTTGTTACATAGTACAGTAACAACAGTGTGACATTGTTAGGTTCTGTAATTGTGTTGCCAGAATCACTGTGGGGGCAGAGCTGGCGTCTCGGCTTGTAGCAGGGGTTCAGTTGCCATCTCTGCGCCATGTTGGGAGTCCACGGTGTGACAGTAGCTGCTTGAGATTGGGGTGGTGGTGGTGGTCTTGGTGACACCAAGCAACACATCCCTACATTTGATTATCCTCTCATTTCTTCATAGCTGCCCTCTCAAGCCAATAGACTTCTGGTTTTTTGGCTGCAGTATACTTTTGCGTTGATGATGGAGCCAAGGTATACAAGATCTTTAACGATTTTGATTTATTGTCAACATGAAACTTTTGAAGTTCTTCTGTAGTTGTGATGTTTGGGTTCTTAATGTTCAACTGAAGTTGATTCTCGGTCTGGTTAGTGGACACAATGACAGACGAGGACTCCGGAGAACAGGGTTCGAATCTCCACTTGGCTATGGAAACTCACTGGGGGAGTGGAATTGGTAAAACCGTAACTTAAATATATCACTTATCTTGAAAAGCCTGTTAGGGTCACTATAAATCAGTTCTGACTTGATAGCATACAATACAGTTACTCTCTTCATTGCTCACGCAGGATTAAGCGATTACCCAAACAGTGTTCAAACCAGGAGAAATTGTGACACTCTATTGCTCCTGAGAAGCCCTCTCCAAGCTTATGTAACAATTTGTAAAGATTGTAGCTAAGCTCAGGAAAACTTGAGCTGCAGCCGCAGGTAACATCATAATCTTTGCTAATTAGAAGGTCCCAGGGGTTCCACCCTAAAAGCTGCTGCTCCACTATGCCAAGACCTGCGCTCACACAAGTGTTTGCTCTGTTGCTTAACAGAGCAAAGCTCTGGTGGAGGAATGGAATTGCCACACATCGGGAAGTGCAGCGTTGAAGCCATGTGCAGAGTTCCACACCCTCTTCATGCACTGAGAACAACATAAGCAGGGCTACAATCTCATGCATAACATACGGGGTGGAAAAAAATAAAAGCTGCTTGACATGGTTGTGTTTTTATGTTCTGATATTATAACATGAAGGCATGGTCCTAAAAGCTGGCCTAGAAATCTTAAAATACAGTAAGAACTCCAGGGTCTTCACCATCACTCACTCTTCTTCCCCAGTTAATTCCCTACCACATGGAGCATACCACGGACAGAGGGCAAAAACCTTTCCTAGAAGTAAACAAGACAGTTGAACTTTGGTAGGTAGCACACCAGATCCAGATAACTTGGTTCTGAAATAAGCTGAACTAGAACCGAGAGAACTCATTGCTGAAAAGTGGCCACGGATAATGTTTGTATAGCCCTGATTTCAAAACAAATGCAGATTAACCCACACTTGATTAGCCTCCATCTCTAGAGCAGAGTGTTCTGGACAGAAAGAGTGGGTGGCTTGTGATAGAAGGAAACTAGTAAAGTGAGAACAGGAGGCTCAGAATAGCATGTGACAGCAACCTGTTGTGTTGAACTACAAGCCCCATCATCCCCATAAAAGAGTTTAGTGCGGGCTAGCTGATTATGAGAACTGTATCCCACCATAGCTAGAGGGTGCTAGGTAGCAGAAGGCAGGTCGAGGGGGAAGAAACATCCCGCCCAGCTTCCTCTCAGAACGCGGGATGACTCCAATTGTGTTTAGCAATGGTTTCACAGAAGGAAATCACTCAAAACAGAGTATTTTAATATAACACAACATTGATTTCTAGAATTCAAACATGGGGTCACAAAGACTACACTCAGATGATGAAAATGAAATTAATTCCGCCCCTTCCTCAAGGCCATGGGGCATTCAAATTAAGTCTGAATGCCTCCAGATGCCGGAGGCAGAAAGTGGGGAGGCAGTGGAGTGACAAAAGCTGGGGGTGGTCTGTGGTGGAAACAATATGAGTATGATGCGGTTTTAAATAATTTTTGTAAAATATCAAAAGCCACTCAGCTCTTCCTTAGTTTTCCATTGCTATGTATTCATTGTTTACACTGACTAGCCATAATTCATTCAGTTACAGATTTGAACTTACATCATACCTCCTGTGACTGGGACTCAGGATGGCTCAAGACATGATTTAAAAAGAGATGCAACTAAAAACACTAGCATGTTAAAAAATTAAAGACAATTTTGAAAGCTCTAAAGCTCTACATACAGCACTTCCTCTGAAAGCCCCTTCCTCAGCAGATATTATACCAGATATATTAATTCAAAAGTTCATCTGGGTAGAATATCCAGTATAAGCATAACTTACCGTATTTTTTGCTCCATAAGATGCACCGGACATTAAGACGCACCTTATTTTTAAATACCAAAATTTAAAATAAAATAAAAATAAATAAACAGAGCAAGTCCCACACTGGGACTGCAAAAAACAAGCAAACAAGCAAACAAACAAACCACCAAAAAAACAAAGCAACATAGAAACATACCCCCAGCCCAAATCTAACCTCCAAGACCCACCCAGAACATTTTTTAAAAGTAAAAAGCAGCACATAATTTTTAAATACCAAAAAATAAAGTAAAAATAAATAAACAGAGCAGGTTCCACGTTGGGACTGCAAAAAAATTACCAAAAAACAAAGCAACATAGAAGCATATCCCCAGCCCAAATCTACCCTCCAAAACCCACCCAGAACATTTTTTTAAAAAGTAAAAAGCAGCACCTAATCAGTGGAAAGCCTCCTAGAGGTCCTCAGAAGCCAGCGATGGTGGTGGTGGGGGACCCCCATGGGGCCTGCTAAGGCCTCCGGAGGCCTCAGAAGCCAGCGATGGTGCCTGGGGGAGGCCCCCACGGGGCCTGCTGAGGCCTCCGGAGGCCTCCCGGAGGCCTCAGAAGCCAGCGGTGGTGGTGAGGGGGGCACCCCGCAGGGCCTCCAGAGACCTCCGGAGGCCTCAGAAGGCAGCAATGGTAGCGAGGAGGGGACAGTATTCGCTCCATAAGACGCATACACTTCTCCCCCAATGTTTTTGGGAGAAAAAGTGCGTCTTATGGTGCAAAAAATACGGTAGGTACTTTACTATGCACTCCAAAACCTGCTAGGAAAAAGAAAGGAAAGCAACCACCACAAACTGATGTTTTCAAATCTTTATTATTAGAAATTCACTTTCTGTTTGCCTTCTGGAAGACCAGCAAATACAGACTCAAGATAAAGTGCCCGCACCCCAAACCATAATTTAACAGGTGGAACAGCGACATAAAGGCTAAAAAGCAATACACTACTGCTGACAGTTAGTGATGACATTAAGTAGGACAGCCCAGAAGGTGTGGAACAAAAAAAAAAACCCTCCCTGGTATTTACCCACCTGAAGTAAATGGAAAACTCCTACTTCCAGATAGATGCTGAGGGAAAAGAGTCTGTGCGCTTTACTCATCAGCAGCCTCACACAAATGAAGGTCAGACAAATAAAGAGGTCTGTCCCATGCCCCTTCCTGAAAATGCCAGGAAAAATACATTCTAGAGCCATCTTCAGAAGCCAAACTAGCTCGAGAAACAAGAGGCCCTGCTCCTCAAGAGAGCTCCTAATCCAGATTCAGGCAGGTGGATGCCAAGCCAACCATACCCCTCATGGCAGTGACTTCTGCCATTGGGGGTCAGCACCGCCTTCCTGGGTGTCCTTCTGCAGAGGGATGCTGTTTTAACATCAGTGAGATTTACTTCCATGTCAAGGGGTTTTGAATACAAGTCCTTAGACCCATGCCGCAGTGAGGGGGGAAAAAAACCCTATTTCTAACCCTAACCCAGCTTTTTCCATTTTTCCAGAGGTTAGAACAGGGGACAGACTGCCCATTGCCTGCAGAAAGGGAGACGAATTTTTAATGAGGCCACTCTCCACAATCATCTCATAAGCACTGGCAAAGGGCAGGGACCAGCCAGTCTGTCTGTTCCTTCGGCAATTCCAAAGGAAACCGAAGTGACTAACTCTTGTCTCCACTAACACACAGCTTCAACCAGCCAGACATTATTTCTCCTCACTGTGGGAAGTTTTCCTCTCACCAAGTGCTCTGTTTATTTGCATATAAAACAGGAAACAAAAGTGTGCTGGGCTTTTATGTCAGTTTTTAGCTTGAACAAAGGGGAGCTGAATCAAGCAGATCAAGAGGAAGAGTTCACTTGGACAGCATTATGTATGAGCGTGTGGGTAGGGAAGACACATGTTGGTGTAACTGTACAAAATTGGTTTTCAGATTAGCAGGACAAGTAAAATTTTTAGGAATGAGAGAGAGCCCTACACCTGCCTTCAAGGTAGATTAGAACGAGAAGCTATTTCAATATCGGACCTAATGCGTCTTCCTCTTTTTGGGTCCAAGGTGTCGCTTCCTTTGCTTGTAGAGATGACGGAAATTCACAAATGGACCTGGCAAGGATAGATAAAGAGTCTTAATTCTCAAGGTCAGTAACTCTAGGAAAAAAGATGAGTGTTGCAGATAAAAATGTCCCAACCCTGTTTTATCTGAGGGAACAGGCAACTTCTCTTTCAGTAATAACAACAACAACAGCTGTGCTATCAAGTCTATTCTGACTTACAGTGACCCTTCTTCAGGGTTTTCTAGATATAAAATACTCAAAAAGGAGGGGCATCAGTCTCTCCTTCTGGTGGCATTCTGGGCCACCGTTGCTTGCTGGCCCTTGTCCTCGGAAGCACAGCAGGGAATGGAACGCCTGACCCCGGGTTCGCCACCTCACTGAGCAGCAACCCAGCCAGCTTGCTATAGGATGACCCAAAATAAAAATATATTCTACTCTGGAAGTCTATCAGAAGCCCAGTATTCTTACATAAGGAGAATCTTTTTTTTTTTTAAAAGAAGAATCGAAAACTCACCTAGAAATAAAAAGACAAGATAGAGTTGAAGAAAAACTGAAAAGGGAATGGTGAAGTTCAGCGGGGAGGGTAACTGGAGGCTGAATCTCCCGGTGCTGTTGAAGATGGGAATGGACTGGATCACTGCCACGGCTGAAAAGGAAAAGCGGCCAGAAGTCAGGCCATGTTTGGTGGGAAAGACCAAAGAGGTGCAGTATTGTGTGTACGGCGACACTGTTCATCTTGCCCAATAGAGAGAGCATGCAAAAGACAATAAGGAGCAGGGGTGGACATCCTGTGCCCCCACCCACAAGGCCTCCTTGTGAGGAAACTATGAGCAAGGAGAGGGTTAATTCATTCCCTAAAGTCTGTGGAAAGCTGTTCTAGCTGGAGGAAGATGACTTGGATGGGAGGGAAGGAAACATATCCCAAGAAGCGAGACTACAGTGGGGTCTTGACCTGAGAACTTAATCCGTATTGGAAGGCGGTTCTCAACTCAAAAAGTCTGTAGGTCAAGTCTCCATTGACCTACAGTGCACTGAAAACCGATTAATCCCGTAACAGACCGTTTTTGTCCCATTTTGGTTTTTTTCTGGTCTGTAAATGAAATCTCAGTCTGCAAGTCAAACCTAAATTTTGCGGCCAGAGAAGTCTGTAACTCAAAAAATCTGTAAGTCAAGCCGTCTGTAAGTCAAGGGTCCACTGTAGCTTCGTCTGCGTGACAGTGTTAGCAGCAGCCTTAAGGTAGGAAGAAGGTTCTGAGAATCATGCCTTCTTTGAGTCTCATGGCACTCGAATCAGTGACACCTGTGATATCTGATTAGTCACTCTTGCAAACGTTGCCAGTTAGCTAGTTGGGAAAGAACACAGGATGATGACTGACTCATCCAGAGAGGGGATGATGACATATAAGGCAAGCCAGAGGAAAGGTTCACTTAAGCAGCTTTGAGCAGTAGCATCTGACAGCTTGTGCTTAGCTCGCTTGTTTCATCTTTCAACATGTTATTCTGCTGAACTCTGCACGTGCAGTGGAACCATGCTACTTTGTAAGTATAGAACTAGATAGTTTTTATTATTTTCCATGAGTCTGACTATTAACTCCCTAAGTTTCAGAATGAGTTTTGTTTTGCTTTTTAATATGGAACTGCTTCTCATCGTTAAGGTTATTATATTAGAAGCTCTAAACCTACTTTTAAACATGTACATCTTTTCAAAATACCCTTAATAAAAATAATAAAATTTTACAGCTGTGTTATTACCAAGTCAGTTCAAGGGGATAGTGGTACTAAAGAAAATGGCTTGCATTTGGAGGTTTTGAGTGGGTTATTTCTATATTTCTACCTTGCATGGTTGGTTTGCAGTCACAAGCAACAACCTGAAAGTTTTTGTTTTTCACGGGAGCACTAAAGGAGCAAGTAAGCGCAAGAGTGTTGGGAGGAGGGGTGTCTCATAGGAATCTTTGCCCCATCACTAGCACACTGCTTAGCAAGCACCCATGCCAGGTTAAGCAAGGGTAGTGTGGCTAAGTGGTCAGTGAATTCTCTCTGTGTTGGCTTAGGTTCCTTATGCACCCCAACCTTTAAAACAATACTTCTTATTCCCTCTCCCTCCAATGGCTTATTTCTACCCCTGGAAGCCTCCTGGTGCAGCAGTTCTGCCCCTGGGGCCTTGAGGTACCCGACCCTGATCCTCCCCCCNCAGGGGATTCTCAAGAGTCTCCTCCAGCACCACAATTCAAAAGCATCAGTTCTTCGGTGGTAAGCTTTCTTTATGGTCCAGTTCTCGCTTCCATACACCACTACAGGAAAAACCATAGCTTTGACTATGTGGACCATTGTCGGCAAGGTGATGTCTCTAATTTTTAAGATGTTGTCTAGGTTTGTCATCGCTTTCCTCCCAAGAAGCAGGTGTCTTTTAATTTTGTGGCTGCTGTCACCATCTGCAGTGATCATGGAGCCCAAGAAAGTAAAATTTGTCACTGCCTCCATATCTTCCCCTTCTAT